AAAAAAAAAAAAAAAGAAAGGCTGGCTGGCTGAGGGTCCGATGCAGGAATTGGCACATTAACCAGCACCCTCAGCTGATGAGCACACACTTCAGAGCTACTTAGGAGGAGACATGCCCGCAGTTCTCTCTTCCTGCTTTCCCTAAAGCACATGGGCTTTTTCCATGACCATAGATACCATCTAAGCAGTAATTTCAGGGTTTGGAGACCTTAAGAAAGAAAAGACTAAAACTATGCACAGTACCACATCTGCATCTGCAGCGTGCGAAGTGGAAATCTACAAGTTTTCCTTATTCAACAAGGAGTGTTTACACAGTCGCATTGGTGACCCCTACGATTAACGCAGTCTCCAAACTGATGGAAGTTATTTGCTAAAGATCTAGTTACTCAACCTCTATGGGGTTATTTAAGGTTTCTCATCTGCATAAGAAAAGGGAAACCTAGTACAGCTATAAATGCCAGTGTAGCTATAATTAGCACAGCCTGTCTGCTGCCTCCCTTTTCTGTTTTTCTAGTTATAAATACCGCCAAATCCCCGCTGCCTCTCCTAGGCCCCAGGGATCTGTTTATTTTGTAATAGAGAAAAGAACGAAGGGGCTTTTCCAAATTTGTTGGTAGTAGAAGACACATTTCTAGCTTCTCGTCTGTTTGTTACAAATGTATCTACATTTCTCTTCCTAACTAAGTCCATCATCCATAGAAGGAAAGCTTCTAACTTTACAGCAAACTTCTAACTTTGCTGGATGCTTTGGCTGCTCATATTCCAGCAAAAACTTCTCCATTCCCAGAGGAAGCGAAAAGTTCACATGAGGCTAACTCTAAAGGAACAGACTTCAATTTGTTGGCCACATTTTGCATTTCTTAATATTATTCTAACGGAATGTTCCACATAAAAATTAAAACCACTGCTGGAAATTCTCTCATTGCTTTGTTAGGTGGCATGATGTTTGAACAAAGATTAATCCTTAATGAACAGCCACGTAAAAACTTCTGTTAATTGTGAGTCAAATTATAACGAGCCTGTGAGAGGAGGAGATATAATGGACATATTGAGTTAGTTTGTCCCAGAAAGGGGTAAATGAGCATGATTTACCTTCCCCCTAAATTGTCCTTGGCTAGGGTTAACTTCTGGAAAACTTGTATCCTAAAAGAGATATATTTTTTTAAATGAGCAGGTAAAAAGGAGATGTTATCAACACAGTGCCACTATTTCACTACGCCAACAGGAAAAACCTGTTGAAGATCTCTCAGGTCCCTCTTCATAACATATTGTGCTTACATTAAACACAGCCTTTAACTTATGTTATACTCTTCAGGTTTTATTTCATTTGAAATAGAAGAAAAATTTCCCATGTCTTCTCTAGGAAAGAAAAGGACAATCTTTTCTTTCAACTTCAAAGTATGTGTTTCGGATCCAAAAGGATCGCCTTGTTCACTTGTTTATTTCCACAGAAAATTGCATTTTTATTTTTGGTCAACTTCTCTCCCAGATTCTCTGATGTACGATCCAGAGCGCATAAAGGAAGTGAACGGAAGGAAGCAGGGGGCCGGGCGGAGTGCGGGTACAGTGTCTCTCGGAGTAGAAGAGTTCTTCAGGCTTGTTAAGCGCAGGAAAATTCAGCAGAGGGGTTTATCACTGACTGTTTCTCAACCACTGCATTTGACAAGGCCATCTCCTGTATTGCCGGATGACGTTAAGCTTTTTTTCTATATTGAAAACAGTCACTGTTTCCCAAAAGACTGGAAATCAGAGATCAAGGTGATCACGTTATTAACCACGGTTATTACTTCACTTCTCTGTAGCCACGTGAGGCTTTGAGAGAAAAACTTCATCACCCTTGATCCCCTGAAGTTTAACTTGAATGAGTCCCACTTTTTTATTGTTAATTAATTAATTTGACAAATATGTGTTGCCCTCCTGCTACGTCGCAGCCACTTTTTCCGGCCCGGGGCCTGCAGCAGAAAACAAGGCATCAATCTGGCCGCGTACAGTCTTGTAAAGGTTGGGCAGGGAAGCCGCCCCGGGGAGGAAACACTTGTGCAAAGAGAGATGAGGAGTGAGCTGTATCCAGGGGAAGAGCGACCAGGCAGGACAGCACCTCGAAGGCCCGCAGGCAGGAGCCAGGCTCCAGGCCTTAGAAAGGGCCAGGAGCCCTGTGGGGCCGC